GAGGACCTAATTGAGGGGGTCTGGTCGTACCTACACGCTCTGCTTGAGACTGTGTTCCTGTCCTTGAATAAACCTTCTGCTTTACTGGCTGGCTGAGAGTCGCAGTGAATCTCGGGAAGAGGGGTGCAGGGCCCTAACTCCCCCACAATCCGCAACACCTGCTCACCCCCATCACAGACCCCATTACCCTGTTGAATAAGGCTCCTCACACCCTCATTCTGTGGGGCCCGGCAGCAAAGGGCCTGTCCCTCCAGAGGAGCTGCCCGGCCAGGGCCAGCTCCAGGGTTTTTGCCGCCCCAAGCAGCCCCCCCCCCCAAAAGCTGCGGTCGTGATCTGCAGCGGCAATTCGGCGGAAGGTCCTTCGCTCCGAGCGGGAGTGAGGGAGCGACTGCCGAATTGCCGTTGAGTAGCTGGACGTGCCGCCCCTCTCCAGAGTGGCCGCCCCAAGCCCCTGCTTGCCAGGCTGGTGCCTGGAGCTGGCCCTGTGCCCGGCTCCTGCATTGCTCCCCAATGCCAGGCAGGGCCCTCGCCCCCCGCCGGACAGGAAGTCAGCGGCAGTGGCAGCTCAGCCGTACCTTCCACGGCAACACAGAAGATGAGGCTGTCGTCATGGCTGTCACACAGATACTCCCCCGCGTCCTTGCTCTCCATGCCCAGAATGACCAGTGCGCGCCGTGCCCCATCTTCCTCCAGACGCACGCGCCCCGTGTCCTGCAACTTCTCACCATCCTTGTACCACTTCAGCTCTCCGTGGGCATGGGAGAGCGTCACCTCCAGCACCAGGTCCTCCGCGGCCAGGCAGCGGCGGTGTGTCTGCAGCTCACCCCGCCCCAGGATCGTCACAGGAGGGTCTGGCAGAACCAAGACAAACAGCAGCTACGATTAACCAGCCTATGGAACTCCCTGCCACAAGGTTTCACTGCGGCCAGGAGCACAGCAGGCACCAGAAGTATTCGATATTTGCATGGACAACAGTGACAAGAGCCCCCATGACACTGCGCGACATACAAGGGCGCTGAACCCCCTGCGCCAGTGTTGGGGATAGGAAGGCGATTCCCCTGGGCCCAGCCCTCATTGCAGGGCTGTTGTACCTTCCCCGGAAGTGCTGGGGCTGGTCGCTGTCAGAGACGGGCACCAGACTAGAGGGGACCTGCTCCACTCCAGCCTGGGAACTCCGCCACAGGCCCAGGACTCGGCCTGCTCTGAGCGCATGGTCAGGCTAGCGCAGGTCCCCCGGGACCAGGGTGGGCCCAACTGGCCCCTGAGCATCCCGACAGAAGGGGCCTGCGACTAGCCTGTTTCATGTCACACCCCTCGATTTCCTGTTGGGAGGAGACAACCAGCGCAGCGGCCAGGGCTCTGGCACCTGCAGGGACTGCCAAGGAGACAGAAACTGGCACAGCCAGCTTGGGAAACTCAGCCTGGCGAGCTGGGCACTGCACCACTGGCCTGCTGTGCCCAAGTGGGAATTGGCTGTACTATTTTTATCAAGTCGGTGTCTGCCTCAGTTTCCCCTATATGCTGCATTGATTCTATTGGGAGCAGGGGAAGAGACAGGTGTGACGGGCTCCCAGCTGTCTGGGACCTGAGGTCCCACATCAATGGAGCTCTGGAGAAGACAATGGCAAATCCAGCTGCCCAGACACGGACCCCAGCAACCAGCGACCCAGAGAGATCTGCACCCCCCCACCTCTGGGCAGGGGGCTGAGCCGCATCCCCCGCTCGGGAACAAAGGGCTGGGGGGAGGTGTGTTGGCTGCTGGAAGCAGTGGGAGGTACACTGCGGAGTCTGACTGAGGAGGTCAGTCGGCGTGACAGGGGGACGGGGCTTTGGGCTCTGGGCTCCCCAAGGGCTCCCTGTGCTGGGTCAGGTGACTAATAACCCGCCTGTCGGCCCGCGCTGCCTGTGTGACCCTGCAGACGCTGGCGGAGGGGGCGCTGACCCCTAAGATGGTGTGACAAAGTGGGTTTTTCCTCCTTATTATGTTGTATGTGAGCCTATGTGAGTCTTACTGTTTTGCATAATACTCTGTGTGCCTCAGTTTCCCGGCGTATTGCGCCAATGCCTAGGTGGTGGGAATAAGGGTATGTGACTTCTGCTGAGACCCTTGGGGACAGGTGAGATGGCTCTGGCTGCCTGCACATAAGCGATGGACGATGTCCTTCATAATCTGAGACCCAGAAGGGTGTACAACCAGATGACACTTTGCCTGGGGAGTGAGACAAAGATCAGGAGGTGGGGCAATGGGTGTGTCGGAGGTCGGGTCGCTGGAAGCTGGGCAGTCTGCTATGTGGGACTCAGAGAGTGGGGAGTCCAGGGCGTCCAGTCCGGGGTCCCCCCAAGAGGGACTTGGCTGAAAGTCACTGATTTCTGTGCTAACAAGATCTGGTCTACACTGTGATCCTGTCGACTAATAACCCGTCTGTTTTACCGGCTGACTGCGGACTTGGGGTGCAGGGCCCCTCTGGCTTTCCCAGGGGTCCCGTCCAGCTGGACCCGCCTAGGGGAAGTGTATGGTGTGAACAGGGGGCTGAATGCGCCGAGGTCAGTCCCAAGAAGCTGCGTGCCCTGAGGGGAGTCGCTCCCCAGAGTCCTGCTCGCTTTGTACTGAGCAGTTCCAGAGCATCGGACCTGTGACTCCGCCATAGATGGTACAACTCTCCCTCAGGGTCTGTCTCCGTGGGACTCGCTGCCCAGGGTCCAGCCTCAGGAGGCAGTGACGCCGCGTGGCTTCCCCTGGAGGCGGAGTGAGACCCTTTGGGGGCATGGCCCACTGACGGGGCCTCCCAAAGCCTGTCCCCACACGGGGGACATGACCCCCATCCTATGGGTCCGTGACACCTTCCCCACCCCGTTGCTGACCCCCGCACAGACTCACCATGGCTCTCCAAGCGCACCCAGTGGGGCCTATGCTGGGGCGCAAGCCCTGAGCCTGAATGCGCAGACACAGCAACTGTCCCTGGACAGACTAGCCACTGGAAACAGAGCAGACGGGCAGAGCCCACATGAGCACCAGTGCCCCGGTGAATGCGGACTGCCACACAGGCAGCGACAGGCAGGCCAAGGCCTGCGCATGGGACTCAGGTCTGGTTCTCAGGGGGCAGCGTGAGGCGGGGGTGTTGCGGATTGTGGGGGGAGTTAGGGCCCTGCACCCCCGGGCTTCCTGCGATTCACCATGACTCTCAGCCAGCCAGTAAAGCAGCAGGTTTCTCTGCACCACAGGAATACAGTCCAAGACAGGTCTTGCAGGCACAGACAACAGGGACCCCCTCAGTTAGGTCCAGCTTGGGGTCCCAGGGCATCCCAGCCCACCCCCTTGGGGGGGGGGGGGGGAGCCCTCTCTGCCTCCCAGCCATCTCTCCAGCCTGCTTCCAGCCTGCTTCCAGCACTCCCCTTCAGCGACCCCTCCCACAGCCTTTGTTCAGTTTCCCGGGCCCCGGAGTCACCTGACCTCCAACCCCCTCCTGGGTTCTCATGTTACAAGCTCAGGTATGTTCCCTTGGGCCGGCTCCCATCCCCCGATGCAGACCATCCTAGTCACACTCCCCTGTCAGCATTCACACACCACAGTAAGAACAGTCCCAGTTCGTCACATCT